AAGCGTAAAGTCTTGAGTGCTACTATTGTCAGCACCGTTCACGAAAAGGTGCATTTGGGCGTTCAACCACTGTTATAAACAAAGAATTTAACTGAGCATAAGTTCGTAGATATGAGCTCAGAAATATACGTGATTGTTCCACGGAAGTGCAGCTGCTCTTCTGAACAAGAGCACCTTTAAGTTGCCACAAAGCCGGGTTGCCTGTATGCTAAATTCAACCATCTCAACTGTGGTTTTTGTCAAGCTATAGTCTAAATGCGATCTTCCGTAGCGCAGTCAGAATTCCAGCGGAGTGGTGTAGAAAAAACTACATCTTCTTTCCTCCGTCCTCTGGGAAAGTGTACAAAATTGACGATGCTTGTGGGCTTACCAATGAATCGTACATACTCCTTTCATGTATATACCGCTTAGAATACTGTGTCATAGATCTACAAATCTCAGGACGTCTTTCCTGGTTTCTGGTCGGCGGAATCTATGTGATCAAAGACCTGCTGTCCACCTTGGATTTTTCGACTAGTCACAAGCACTCCTCGCTTACTTCGCCTGCATCCGTATGACATTGCTCTGCCGTATCAGTTGTCACCACAAGTTTGGTCAGTACTACAAACTGGCCATCCAGCCAAATATCCTAATAACTTATAGGCGCTGTGGTCGAGTGGAATTGCCCTGCACTCAAGGGCTCGATGAAATAGTGAAAACTATCAGAGTTTTTATAATTACAGACAAGTTTAGTGAGGTTGTTGAAGGAGTAGAGGTGACTATCCATCTGGCCTTAGTGTGACCCCTAAGGGAAAGTGTAACCAGCTACCACGGCCTTCGACTGCGCCAGGAAATTATACGGAATGTGGTAAGACAAGATGGCACCAGGCCTTTCGCAAAAAAATCGTTTAACTTATTCTCATTGGCAACGCCTCAAATCCTCATAACAACTTCAAAACATGTAGTGCGACCATTTTCTGCATCCTTTCAAAAGTGCATCGCATTTCTTCATGAAAAACTAAGTTACTGTCTGCGAGGTCCATCAGAGAACGCGCAGTGTTAAGCACACACTTTTCTCGCTCTAACGATGTGCATAATTGGTAGCTGTTTCGGTTGCTCAGCTGGACATTTAGATTTCAGACGTTGGAGCATCACTCCATTTAACATGGTCAGTGCGTTGTTTCGGATCGAACCAGTGTGGCCCGCCAGTTGAAGTGCGGTGTTTTGCTGGCTGTGCATCTGTTTATAAAGGTACTGCTAACCTGAAATTACCTTCGTTCACATTCGGTTAGATGTTTTTAAAGACTCATTCCACTTGGAATTAGGCGATCTCTTGGTCAGTATCAGGGTGAATTCTGGTCTTAAGCTCTCCGTGTTTAACGCGGTGGTCTTCGTTAACTTGGCTCCAGAGGACTTCTGTTGCTTTTCCTTTGACAGAGTATTGAACCCTACTTGATTATTCTGGCTTTCGTAAGTCTTTTTCACGGTACGTCGTAGATTGGATCCAGTTCAAACCGTCGATCAATTGAATCAGTGTGGGATGCTCATGCTGAAACGCCTGGAAAATATTGCACCCTGCGAATTCAGATTGAGCCATAAAAGAGGGTCATCCAACCGAATAATTCTGTGGTTCCTAAACAGACCAGTTAGTCACAGCACTGTGGGGAACTTATTAGTTGTATTCCAATTTTGTTGGATAGGTCAGCTAGGGTGTCTGTCACAGCACACACCAGGATATCCGTGAAAATCCTGATAGGCTCACTCAGCACCAGCTGAGAAACTTATATTGCCCCTCGCTCTTTGCATGGAATAGGATTATCTATTCAACACGATAGATGATTTGAAACTCCCTCAGGGTTGACAATATTAATCCGAGTAATTTAATTTCACTCATACTCCGAAGATTTTCCACTATGGGACAGATTCTTACCAGTATTGACATCGATATGACAAGTATTCTTAATGTAAACGGCTGTCTCGAAAATATAACCACTATAAATTTGGCCACTCATCAGGCAGATCAAACACGATTAGTTGCATTTTGCTTCTGGGTAGAAAATTTGACCATTGACCGGAGCAAATAACAAGTTCCCCTCTTCGGTTGGTTTGTGAATCGCTCCATTCATTTTGATCTACCACAAAAGTTGAGTGGGCCACAACTGTAAGCAGCTGCTGTTTTCTGTTAAGCTGTACAAAAACTAGATATACAAACCTTGCGTATTTCACTATATGGTTTCAACTTCCATTGTGAAGGCCCCAGCGAGGTTTGCTTCAACGAAACCTAGGGATTGCTTGGGCTGGTTCCGGGTCGATAAGCAATGATAATAATAATAATAATAATAATAATAATAATAATAATAATAATAATAATAAAATAAGCCACTTAATCTCAGAGGCTAATTTTGATGAGACGACTACGCGCTTCGCTTTGTGACGAACAGCACCGCCTCACATGGTTTTGTCTGCGTGCAATGACCAGTTTTAGAAGAACATTCCGAGGACTGAATCCCTCTACAGTCTTGTTCGGTGTCATTTAAGCGGGTACGTGGTGATGAAACCGAATGGGTAGAGTATTGGGTAGGTTTAATCAGACTTATACCTACGTTTTTCGAACTACGTATGTCCGTCTACCAATCGCAACAGAAAAGACTATCCTTTCTTTGAACTCTCGCTTGCGGAAAGCCTCAGAAAGCAGGCCATGACGCAGCAACGCCAAACTTCGGTGCCCAACGTCTAATCGAGTGTAGCAGGATATTTGCGCGTTCGTGGTTGCCTCCACGTAACTCTGTTTGCACATCTTTGGAACCCCGCGGGATACGGCATGTAACTGGTCGAAGTGGCAGGAATACTGTCACTTCTCAGTCAGACTATCCAGCTAAGGTTCATCTGTCGGTCTTCGGTGGACTCACAATGGGTGAGGTCTTCAAAGGAGCAGTCAGTACCACTGACGAGTTAGTGCTGTGGCGTAGAACTCTTATGGAGTTGCCAGGTTGATATTTGAAGGTGTGACCAATGTGTGATCAGAAATGGGTAGGTTTCCGCTGTGACGATACAAACTCATTTAACGAGGAATAAGTTTCCAGGAATTCGGGCAGTCAAACTTCACTGAACTCCAAATGCGTCTGGCTCAATACAAACCATTTGGGTTCTCGTGTTCAATTCAGTCAACGTAAATTCCTCGTTTCTTATCGCTAATATTCACCTGTGTGCATATGAAACTCCTGGTGAATTGATTTAACTTGCTGCCCACAGGTTTCCAACCCAGTGCCCCCAAACCAGTAGCTTGTTCACCTAGAATTGAAATACCATGAGCTGTCAAACTGCATCAACGCTGATTAAATTACCAGACCTGGACAATAAGTCCGGTAGTGAGTTTGCATAATATTTTATTTGGTAAATCTTGGCTGCTATGATTGTCATCAGAGTAGCAGAACAACTGGCTTCCTACTGGCTTGGAGGCGTCCTCACTGAAACAGTGCCCTAATGAGTGAGATCCTTTAGAACAGTTTCATGGTTTTTCTCTTACATTTGATTCTAAATGTGCTGGAGTATTTAGTTTTAGCAACAATTCTCAATTCTCACTCTTCCTATGAGACCTCTACTCAATTATCTGGTGGTTGTTACCTCTGACACACCTTTTTTGGCGTAGCAACTGTGCGCAAGTGTCCAGAGACTCAATCAAAGTACAGTGTTGAGTGTAGGTTATTTCAGAGAACACCACCGCTGTTGAGAATGCTACCGTTTGTATGTGTTTTCCGTATTTGATTATATCTTATTTACCTGAAGCATCAATATCAGCTTTGTTCCCTCAACGATTTTTTTTATTGTTAGCTTCTTTGGGTTCTCGGCGATATTTCAATCGTTCATCGCCACCGCCCACGAACAGTGCCTGAGCCCATTCGCAAACCAAATTAATGTTGATGGGAAATTAAACTTAATTCATATTGAAACTCCTCCATGACGTTATCCAACTGAATATGTCATATAAAGATCACTTTAAGTTCCAGAAAGTATTTGATATATGTGTGCTTTCCTGACACAACACTACATTACTCATTAGGTTTAGGAAAACTCATTGACAGCCCACTACCGATTTCCACCTTTTCGGAACTCACCAGATAGACATAGTGCCCGAAGTTCCGTCAATCTTATGTTGCGTTTGAAGAATATACTAAACGAGAGATGCAGTTGAAATTCAGTCGAGTTTTCTGTTCATACCAACTTAACTGTTAAATGGGTGTATTCTGACACTTGGGTGCGATTTATTGTTCAATTACGAATGAGATTAGTAAGAATTCGGAGCCTGGGCCTACCTGGAGTGCCACGATAAGTGCCAAAGCGGTAATGGACTGTCCAATGTTCAACTTATGAGAAACGCTACATCGTAATTAGAGCATGAGCTTACTGACCATGAAGTCCATGGTTCGAACCCGACCTCTACCTCTCAATTTCCCCTGTTTAGGTTTAAACAACCTGGTGGCATGGCAGTTAGGCGGCGAAAGGGCGCTGCAGCTTAACGATATACACCAGGAAGACGCCTTTTCTCGTCCTAATCAGACAGTAAAATGTGGAAAGCTCCAAATTTCCTTAATGTTCTTGTCCATACGAAGCTTGAAGGCTGGGAGACACTCTAACACGCAATGATTTGGAACTGGAAGCCACGTTGGAATAAAACAATCAATGACTATCACCGTTATTTTTCCTTCAAATGGTATATACAGCGTAAATGATGCACTTGAAGGGTCGTAGTACAGTGTGAATCGCGAACGCCTATATCATTTTTTTACGTTCAGCAAGTTCTGTATACATCATCAGTCGCGGCAGACGGGTTCTTGAAGTGTGTTACCCATTTTTAGGCCTCTCAGTGCTCACCCTCTGAGTATCCAGTGCAATATGTAACCATAGGATAACATGCTCTTGACTTCCAACCAAAAATGTCGAAACAGGTACAATATTAACGTGACAAACAGACCACCCCATGACTACTTCATGCACTTCAGGTCCAAATGGACGATGCTAACCAGGTTTATTGTGTGATTTTTCGTTGTACAAAGCAGCCCCATTTACATTCCAGGCCACAAAGAAACGTACCCCATAAGGCGTGAATTCAAACAAACGTCCTATGATTTCAGTCATGCTACCTGGTAATTTGTTGAAATATTGGTAGCTCGGGTGAGTTTATTGGTTGTTGATCAGGTGGCTGTTGATCTGTTCGCCGAGCTTGGCAATTGGCTTGCAAACGTTTCGTCACCATACGAGGAGACATCATCAGTGCGCAGTTGAGTGGGTACTTCTTCCTTGCCTGCGTGCGCTTATATAGCATTCGGGGGCTATCTGTTTTCTTCTGACGTGATTGGCTACTTAAAGTGTAACAAATTTAGTGAATCTATTGGTCCATTTTTGATCTTTGTTGCGTTGTGGTCTGCGTTCCTTTGTGTCGATTGGTTATCCTCACACCTTCTATTTTTAGTAGTTCGTTCTCTCCGGCCTCGGGTTGTATTGCGTTGTGGTCTGACGTTCTTGAGTTTGATTGGTTGCTTGTGCCGCCCTATTTCCTCCACCGTAGCGGTCAGCGTCCCTTCGTCCGTCGGTTGATTTGGTGCTTTGATTGGGCGCTTCCTCCAATCCAATTGATGTGTCCGTTTGAATGATGTTTTCCTCCTTCTCTTATGATTTCCTCGTCTGGTTGATTTTGCAGCTTTAAGTTCGGTGGTTCTGGAGTTCTCTCGCTCTTAGTGGCTGGTAAATGGGATCAATTTCAATGTGTTTGTTGATCGCCTCTTCGGTGGAGTACCATGCTTCCATAAATTCGCGTTCGTTTTTTGTTCTTGCTTGAGCCAATATGCAGACGCCGCTCCAGTCGAACTCGTGTCCTTCCTGATCTTTGTGTGCAGAGATGAGGGAGAACTGATCGAACTGCAACGAGTAATCCAAACTGAGATGCGATATCAATAAAACATTACCCTCTAAAAATCAGTTGGTGGATAACCTGCCATCCCAAGCATTGGCTTTTCAAGATAATCGGCTTCAAGCCTTTCTTTCATAAGCGCTCGTATACTAAAATCTAAGTTATCACAAGAATATAATGCCATGCTTGCGATATTTTTTTCTACTTCGAAAGACCGCTTGAATGCAGAATGGAACCAGCCCTACTGGGTGGTTGTTTTTGGAGAGATGTTACCGATAAATTGGGCTACGGAGAACCAGCCCTGGAATTCACGTGCAAGGAAGATCCCTTTATTTCTTCATGTTCCCAACACGTCAGTGGCTCTTTTACCCAGTTCCTTCGTCATCGATACTAAGCTGGTCACAAAGCTATTACAAAGCGATTAAACAGGTAATTCAACAGCTTCCATACTTAGCAGGCTACACAGTTCGATAGATAAATGAGCAAAATGGGCGGTACTATGTTAAACGAACTATTATTTTGAAAAGTCCGATAGGTCTGGTACTCTAAAGTACATGCAACTTTGCAAGTCAGCTGCATATGATTCATCCTTGCCACAATTTATCACTGATATAGAATAGAACAGGTCGTGAAGTTGTTCGCTGAAGTGTGCTCTGGGTTTTACTTCCTACGTTTCATGGCTAATCGAAGTCATGATGATGGTGTGAACTGGTGTTTCTATTACCGTTTATTTTTTAAGATAATGGCCACAAATATAGTAGCTAATCTGAGTTATAGGTGTTGAATAGTGTACAGGAGAGAATTACGTAAAACGAGGGGAATATTCCACTTGAGGGTGTTTCACCAGTTGTTTTAGTCGGAAAAGATGACTTCCGGCATACATAAGAATGTTTGGCATGGAAACACGCGTGTAAAGACCAGGATCCGAAGAATGGTTAAGCAATGCCAAATGCTCTTCAAGGCGCAGTAGGAGCTAGCACAGTCAAGACTCGGAAAAGGTATCTATCATACAGGGTCAAGTGTGGCCAGAATGAAGTCAACGCCATTTACCAAGCATAAAAGTTTCGTAAGTACGTAGACAGCCCCGAACTGTGAGTAAACACAAGCCATTGACTGAACTTGGGAAACCCCAGTCCGATAATACCCTTGGTGGATTGAGGAAAGCAGACTCCTCGATCATCGGTTGGTGGACCAAAAAGTTAACATCACAATCGATTTCACTTAGGGCTAAGATGATGGCGAGGGGACAATCATCAGAACCACAATTATGTTTCTTCCCATTCCAAGCAGTCACTCTGCGCCCATCCGATGCTATATTTACGTCTATCACAGTTGTTCGGCGCCCCCTAACAGCGATTAGGTCAAGCATGTTGAAAGACGTCTGCTTGGGTGCTCATAACTACTCGAAACGGCGCATCCCAGGTGACGGAGACGTTTCACGAGTTACATTGCAACCAGATTATGACAAGCACATCTGGCATTATGCGTGACCCAAAAAACGGCAGAAATTACACCAAACTCCCTGGTTGACCATGGTTTCCACGACAGAAGATAGTTTGCCCACCATGACCACGCTGGATACTGCCAACTCTCGTCCTAAGGTGGTACCGGAGCTGAGTACCGTGGATAAAAATCCCAGGAAGCACACGTTCTGGAAACACAATCCATCATCTCGAAAAAGCGACGAATTCTCATAAACAGCGACCGTCACCGTTGTTGCCTAGCCTATCACCTAAAGCAGCCACCAGCTCTTCCTTGGTGTTTACGTGTGCGCCTTGGAGTAGAATACGAAAACTGAGATCCAAATATTTGTCAAATGTGGAATCAGTAGCCGTAGTGTATAGTAGCGGAACTCCGCGCTCTCCGCTCTATTGTGGTGATGGAATTCTGCTTGGGATACCAAGTCCCCCCATGCTGTTCACCAGCGTGGATGTAGCTGGTCGGGATGTCCTTCCGTAGGCTTAGTGAGCCACAAAAATATTGTCTGATGTAATCGTCCAATTTTTTGCGGGCATTTCGGTATTTGTTTTGTTTTCAGCCTTCTCGGCGTCTACATTTAGATCAATTACCTTTGCATAGATCCTTCCACGACCCATCGAGCACAGCAAACACTGTATCTCTGGTGGTATAGATTCCGGACGGCGGAGTAGTTGGCTCGGTGGATCTGACTTCGGTTGGCCGGCACACGACACGCTAGCTGACGATGGCATCGACAGACAGGATTCCACTTGTGTGGAAATGTCTTGGAAGTGAGGAGGTCCAGAAGTGACAGGACTTTGTCCGAAGTAATGATACCAGACTGTAACCATCGGTCAAATGCCAGAAGGTCAACAGGAGTGGATGAACCGTCAGAATTGGATTCCAGGAATGACACGCGTAAGCCACGGCTTGTTTGAGCCAGATGCTCAGTCTTCAGATTCTGACAAATAGGCAATTATTTGGCCGAGAGTTTGGTCAGGGCCACTAGATGATACTTCGTCTAGCTGTGCTTGTCAGTTAAGCGCACGTGACCTGATGCTGACAATCGATAGACCAGGAAAATACTGCTCCAGCTTCATGAGCAGCGCTATTTGCATGTCACAAAACGGATATAGATTGTTAGCCAGGCGGAAGAATGCTCGTAACTACTGTTGGGACCAGCGGACACCGGAATTCTTCACTCGGCCAAGCTTACCTTTAATGTGCTGGGCGGGGTGTGCGTGCCGGGGGTCTTGACCAAGGCCAATCTTAGTCGGAAAAGGAGGTAAAAATCGGTGCGAACCGATTTGGAGAATACGTTCATGCCAAAATTAACGTGTACGTGAAGTCGACGGTGGGCTACGAAGCTAGCTTTCGATTTGTAGCACTTTCTACAGTCCTCACACGCAATCCTCACAGGAGTCTCTCCCGTGTACTGATTGGAACTAGTCCGGAGGCGCCAGGAGATACATGCTGTATATTGCCAAAAGTACCAACACATTGAAACCAAACAGGGTGTCAACCTGTTTCGAGTTGCTGAACTCTTAGCTTACCCAGACTAACCAGTCGGCCCCAGGAGTTAATTCAGCGAGCCGTTTTGTGTGTATATGCTGTGCTAAACTAAGGCGACCTCTTGTTATTGGATGATTAGCCCTCTAGATTTGCTGATGTTCACTCAAGTAGTATATACATACTTGCTCCTTGGTACCATGCATTCATGAATGGAACAACTAAGATAAATTATCACCACACGGTCTATCTGGGGCTGTGGGTGGTGAGAACGGATGTTGTGGCCATAAATTCGTGCCGACCAAATGTTGATGATTAGCGTACAAGCTGGCGCACTACTCGCTAGCATCGGCCATCCAACTAACCTTCCACGAGGTTGTTGAGCTTTTCTACCACGGACACGATGGAAGACCCTGACTGTCTGATCCACGACATAATGCGGAGAAGAGTTTCCTGAAGATCTTCCCCCTATGGGCACCTCGAACTTTGAAAGCACAGGGTGAAAGGAGAACATCCCTGAATACCACTGTTTCTGGACGCAACTGGCACGATTGAAGCAGTATCGTGTTCTTGATAAGATTTAGGTATTTTTAACCGCATTAGATTACATAACAGCAGATTTGGTCGGTTGTGGTGCGCATCTGGAATTGATCTTTTGAAACTCACCTTTCATAACGGAAAGCAGCAGCACAGTACCATGAGGTTGTGTCCCAGATCACTCTCGTTTGAATAGTTCTCTCCTTTCTGGTACGAGTGTGGTTTGCCCCCTATAAACAAAAAATATGTAGTCAGCCGCACCCCCATTACACCTCACCAGCAGTGAGTAGACCTGTTCGTGCAGGATTTTAACTTCAAGACTTTTGACATGCGAGGTGAGTGTTATCTCTACTCCAACAGCGCCTTGAGCGGTGTGATTGGTTCACCAAGCGCATTCAAAAGCCAAACAGAACTGGCCCGGTCGTGAAGAATAGTTTATTCACCTAACGGGGTCTCTTAGTCAAGCTGCAGTCTCACATATAAGAATATGCTGCTCGCTCTGGGAAAAAATTTTACTTCAAACTCATTACCTCCAGGCCACATCGTAATACGACTACACGAAGTGTGAGAATAAGCTGCTTTCCTCCGACATTTCTGGTACGAGTGAAGTTAGGGGAAAGTGTTCAAGTTAGCATGAGCCGTAGGATCACTGTAAACCAAACCATCAAGTTTGGGTGGCAACTCTATGTCGGTACGAACGCATGAAGAGCCAAAAAGTGGTGCAGCAAAGTACAGGGAAGGCACTCTAAGACCAGCGATTAGGCCCCGATTGTAGCTGTATTTTCCACAGCTACATCGTTACAGAATAAACGCGATCATCAATTATAGATTACTTTTATTTACGCATATATATCGGGTTGCAACACACAACCGTTTTCAACAAGTCCAACGAGCGATTTCAAGAGAGTACATGAAGGTTGCAAGATGTCAGTCGCTACGTGTCGTATAAAACAAAGAGGTGAACAGGGCAGGGGATTTGAAAGATCACAACAGTATATGCAAAAGAAAGTAACACAGGTATGCTATACAGGCCTCAGTCGTAAGCTCGATAGCCCAGGAATGGGAAAAGTGCGTCAGCTTATCTGACGTGTGCTTGTGCAGATGAAACGTGCATTAGAGACCAAGTTCATTGACAAACAGAGAACTGAATGCAAAAACTGAGAAGCCAAGTTTGAATGAATGTGACAGGAGAAAACGACTCGGTTTTACACCGAATAATATGGACAGTTTGGCCGACTGCTTAATCATCTCCGGTTGGAGCTGGACGCTGTTCCCTGAAACCCAATAGAGAGTGGAGTAATTGTGGGTACAGTACGGTTTATAGCCCAAATGAAAACAAATGAGCCACACTCATGAAAGACGTTAGGTAAAAGCGTAAACAAAGTAGCACCGTATGGCTAAACAAACCAAAAGATTTAGAGTTAGTGAAACAAAGATAGGACCAGTGTTGCAAAAAACATGTTCCACAGAACAGATAGTATATTAGTGGCTTTGCACCAGATAAGGGTAAAATTCTTCAGCGGTAGGAAAATGTCCTGCGCAAGGACAAACACCTGAGCTACCCAAGATGGGAAGTGAGCACCCAGAGCAAGAAAGAAATAAGCCACACAAGTGGAAAAGGGGGATCGAATTCATCTCCAGTAGGTCGAAAGGCATCCGTTTAGTGTACAAGACGAGAGGATCGGAATTAACTGACGCTTAAAAGGCCTAGAACTATAACCATTCCATTAACTCAGACCCGCTGAAGAGTAGAAGCTGGAAACCTATGTGAGCCGCGTCAACCGAGAGCAGCCGGAGAGACGAAAATATCCAAGAATTTTGTGAAAACTTTAAAGTGAGATATATAACCGTAGAAATATAGCGACTGACGCCGTTGGTTTAACAGCGCTGTACCCGGAAAAATATAATACAAACACGAAGATCGGTGTCTCCTTAAAGGTGCATTCGTAGATTGAAAAAACGTGCTATGGTGTCACTGAGAATGAGCAATCGATCCATTTAGGTGTTTGCGCTTCCGGTTAGTACGGCCAGAGAGGCGAATGCTAAACAGAGTGCAAACTAGTCCCAACGTGTGTAAACAACCGGTAGGAAAAATGTCCGTGGAGAAAGTCAGGTGCATGTAAAGGATACACGAGCGCCGCTGCCGTCACGTTATCAGACCAGCGATTTCATCGACACTCACTACCCGTACCTCTTGTCACTCGGGATGGGTTGTGGTAAAACGTATCTTACAACCGAGTTAAATAAAGAAATTAGAGTTTCAGCATTGTATAATGCCATCATTTATGATAATAATGCCATTATTCATAATCACGTAATTTCACCCAGTGATACAGTGAAGATGTTTGCTCGCAGGACGAAGAAACATTTGCAGGCGATCGATGAACAGATCAACGGCCAATAGACCCAACTGAGCTACGAATATTTTGATACATTGCCAACTCAATAATGCTCATGTAACGGGAACCCACAGTTCAGATGTAGCACGCTTTCAGCGCCTAACTGCAATGCAACCAGAAGTAAGTACGGGGGCTGAGATTCTGCCAGATTGGCCGAGCCTAGACAGGGGAAGTAGAGAGGCAGAGGTCGGGTTCGAACCAAGAACCTTCTGGTCAGTAAATTCGCGCTCTAACCATTAAGCCATCATTTCTCTTAGAACACACAGTAACAATAGAAAAATGCATTGGGTTTATTATTTTGATCACGTGGTCCAGACGTTCATCGGCAATTCGGTAAAAGTGAGAAAGCGCACCCTTTCGTTGTGCACCCTGTGAGATTTCAGTCCTATCAACACAATACGGTATTGAGTGTTCGGGTTTGAACCTCCTAAGCAGCGCACTCATATAAACAACACACTTAACATCAACCTGTATCTGATCGATACGGACAGAACTGCACGCAACAAACTTGAGCACACTGCACCAACACCGGAAATCCGGAACGCCAGTTATCCGACAACTGCTACGCACATATGTATATCAGCAAAAAGTAACCTCAGGTAGGACCCTATCTTACGTGGAAAATGCGTCCAAAACCAATGCTATACTGACAAAACCAAAATATACGGTCGCGTTACCACGGGAACATTGGAAAAAAACTTCTCACCAAATGCGAAGAGGGGCTTATTCTCACATATGGATTGCAACCATATATCAAAACTGAAAGCATGATGCCGAAGGTCGGTTTCATTATGCGATAGCTTCTCTCTGGACGTCGGATTCAGGAGAAACCAGTGATAAAACGAATCAAAAGCCTTTTATGAAGGGGGTGCAGACTGTCCAGAAGACTTCGCCATATAACCTGACTGTAGAGGTCTAAGTACCAGATTCTCCAAGTACGTGCCACGACGTTACACGGTGACAAAGAGTGAGTCAACCTGCCTTCAAAATAGCCTTACTCGTTAACGACGAAAGTTCACGAGAGATGTAAACTGATGACCTTTCGTGCATGTGATGGGATCGTCCAAAGATTAGAAAAAGTCTAGTATTGCTAGAGACGACACAAAATGCAGCTGATGCACCACTTTCGAGCTTCTATTCGGATTAACTGAGTGTCAGAGGTGTCCTCACTCTTGAATGCACACGATGGGATAGCACTTAGCCTCTTCCCTCACACACTGTAACTTTCACAATAAATTTCTGTTGAACTAGCATAGTTATACTGAAACGAGTTATCTATATTCAAGAACAGAACTGCTGCTTATAATATTGACGACAATCTAAATGAACAGTCAGGCTGTTCAAACATGATTCACTCTTACTGCATCATCGCTCGCTCTCCAAGTGACGATAAACGAGGTTGATGTCAAAACGACCTGAACTTTAGTAGTACTTCATCAGCAGCTGTAAAAAGATGTAAACTCTTTATTGATTGGTGGTGAGAACTAATCACAGTGCTGATCAGCCACTCGTAGCCAAACGCTCAAGTATTCAACCACGGGACAAAAAACTGTGGGTTCATGAGATGATGATTCCAAAAAGGGTGAAATAGCTGTATAGTGGTTCGCGGCTTTTCAGCATAGATAAGCTTCACTGGCAAGAATCACTGTTGAAAACTCTAACGAATTTCACCTGTATCCCAGAATCAGGAGTCGCGACACTGAGTAACGTAGCAAAACGTTCATACGCATGAATATCAAAACCTATTGGGCACCTGAGGCGTTTATGACAGCAATTCCGCAAATTCTCACAATTCCATGTAAGCCACCTGCGGTAGTTTACTTAGAATGCAGACTGCAAGAGCACCCGTTTGAGTTACTGTTGCTCGATGGTTACGGGTTCGCAGTCATATCTGGTGGGTCACAGTCGAGAGTCATCGTGGTCATACGCGCCGCCAACTCGCACCATATGTCCTGGGGAAAACTAAATGTAAAAAATAGGAGCAGTTAAACGAGTGACTGTGGGTCGATCGCCTGACCAGAAATGAGGCTAATGATTCGATTGGTGAAAACATGCCATGACATGATGCGATAACATCAACCGACCCATTTAGTTTGCACAGGCTAACAAACGACGGATATCGAAAGTGCTGACAGAGAGGAGGGTCACGGAACGAGCAGGACAGTCTTTGACAGTTGCGTCAATCCTCTGCCTTTCATCTCCAAGATGGGTGAGAAACAGTCATTCATCATTATAACTTTGTATAGAATTCGTTAGAAAAGCTTAATTTATATTATACACTTGAGTCCTTCCAAATGGTTCAAGTGTGCTCTAAAAGCTGGAGCAGACTGTGAATCCCATGGTCATCACCAATCTACTTGATATGCAACTTTAGAATATCTTCTGCAGAATCGAAGACGTGATGATTGATCTGCTGGCAAACCAGCAAGTTTGTAAGGGCATCTGCATCATTCACCCCATAAGAGAAATAATCACCTAAGCTCCCCAATCAGTTTTTATTTATAGGGGATTGAGAAGCTCTTGAACAGGTAAGAAATTGTGTGCTTATCACACAGACTTCGATACATAACTAATTTCAGTTAACCTAATCGGTCATCCATACATTACACGAATCCACTGAAATTCTAAATTCCCGGCTTGGTCCAGCACGAAGTTCGACTAATACAATGGTCCCCTTAAACTGTCCTCCATGAATAGGGACTTCAATCCCAAGGGGGTCACTTTTTCCGCGTCCCACAGGCATCACTGTTCTTTTACTCCACTACTCATCAACAGGAACCACTCCGTTTTCGAAACACGAAAATAGTACCATTTCGTACGGCAACAAGATGTTGGAAGATAAAAATTTTGCCTTATTTGTTCACAGAAAAGTCGTCGACTAATTAGAAAATGCCACAGAAACTGTCACTGAAGTTACGTGTATTGTGGCAAACCATGAGACGTAACGGTAAGTGAGCTCGAGATTGGTTGATTTGGTCGCTCTAATCAACCACTGTATTCTCACACACAATGCCCTTGAACAATGAACATATGACTATCAGTTTCAAACCGAATAAAGCAGACAACTCTTGAATGTATTTGGACCTCGCCAGGCATTTACAGAATTCAATATTTAGACAAATTTGTTGTTAGCCAGTATGCCTTCATATTATTCCGAATAGAACGACCAATCTGGTCATATCGCTGTACTCTTTGTATCTCAATAGAGGATCTATTTCGAGTTTTGAGTTTCGAACAACAAACATTGGTGGAGTTTGGGAAAATCACAGTAAACCTTTAAGGTTCGCAGAAAACCACTCCAACAGTATGACTTGATGCTTTCCGAAAGGTTCCTCATCCAGCGTTCTTCTGCAATGGGAACAAGCTGCCTGAATTGCACTGGATGAAAAGAGTAAAATGATGGTTTTATCATCACATGACGTTGCTCTTTCGATCTGCGACACCCATCAAAAATGCATTCTGTTAGCGTTTTTCACTCTGAACTGGTTACCTATCTTAACGCTTCAAAGGGCAGCAAAAAGGATGTACAAAAAATAGTTGCCGCCAAGAAGAACCAACCTTAAGCATACTATAAACCGGTTGGACGTCGCTCAGGCTGGCAGGTATTCGGTAACCAGCTAAGTTATTTGATTGGCCAAGCAACCAACATTGTTGTCGCACTGTCCAATCGATAACCTGTCGCTGTCTAGACAGAATTTTATCAAGGTTGTGAGAATCCGGCAGCGCTAATGAATGTAGAAGCCCTATTATCATGCCTCAGAGAGTGGCGTTACCGTAGGTAAAAGGACCGACTGGGAGGCAAAAAGATAGTCCTCGGTTCGAAAACAGGACTGAAGAGGTTCGATATGAGTAGATTAGACAAGATTCTTCAAATCGAGAAACTTTCAGAAATGCCGTTTCTAACCTGACAGGGAAGCCCGCACCAGTGTGCAGGCATATCACTTTTGACTCCCACTACCGAATATTTTGAGGCAAAGGTGAAGCTAACCCGTCAACCTCAAGTTAATAGGTCTTTGTTCTGTCCACTGAGCTGGGTAATTTGGTTGCAAACGTTTCGTCATCAAGTGAGGTGAGTGAGTGAGTTGTGAGTGCATCGGTGTGCAGACCTTCACACATTCCAATCCAAAGAATGCAGGCATTATTCAAAGTAATACTGGTTTCTGTGCTACACTGACTTGCGTGCACCACGTAACGTAGTGTCCACGCCCAGAGCACCCTTCCGCTCATGCGACATGCACGTGGATATATTTCAGGATATCAATTAGATACTAATAGTAGCGACATGTACTCCGCATGCCATCTAGCTCACAAGCTCTTTTTTCCCAGCCCTGTGCTGAGTGGAAGCGACCGAGAGGTGGACAATATACGACCTTGCAACGAAGTATGAAAACGCTAACCAGTGAACTTTGTCGGGTGCGCAAATGCTTCCTCCCTGGATGGGGACCCGGGGATTTAAATCACCAGTGGTTAATGACATTGGCGGAAACGGCCCAATCGCGTAGTCAGTGACCCTCGTGCATCAAAGCTGTCACCTTCAATGCATAGCTACCCAAATTTCCGAATACATAGAAAATGCCTTCGCCTCCAAGGCTTGGTTGTATATCTCACTTTCCCGTTTCGGGTGATCGACACTGTAGCAGCTGAACCAGTGTGCCTTTGTCACACGGTTTATAGCTGACAAATTGAACTGATTGATCGACTAATGGTTCACAACTACGCAAGGCCTTTAACCCGTTCAGCAATTACCACGCAGAAACGTCAACAAATGCATTTTTTGAGCCACACCGCATAAGGCCGATAACGTCTGGACTCCACAAAAGGCAGATAGGGGTTAGCAGCGGGTACAACCGATTAAATTTATAGTCAGGGGGATATTTGGGCTCATTGGCGTCATTAAGGGGGATAGTGTTTCAAGGTGAAGAATGCATTTCTGACTATTCATTTTCAACTCACTATACCAGCATTATATCAAGTATAAGACAATGAAGGTAAAGAAACACTATCGGCGGCTCCCTGACGATCGACAATGAATGTAGACAGTGGAAACTATGAGATCGTCCTAAACATACACAACACAGCCGGTGGTATCTTCTTAACGACCGTCAAACTACTGGTGACCGGAGACAGTCAACACGTTGTCCACGGAACAAGTAACAAATAAAAAAACATCCAAAGCACTCGACGATAACAAACCGTATTGCTTCAAATAGAAACGACATGCACGCCACCTGATTGTCAATAATCAACAAAGTCCTAGGAAGATTCGGCAATGCACAAAGCATGCTACTCGGCGCAAACTCAGTTCACCGGCAGATGAGACAAATTGAAGTACAGAGAGAACACAGAATGCAGAACAAGGATATATGAGAAATGTCAGAACCCCAACTCCTTTGTATCCCTGAGACTACAACAAGCATGAGGAAAACAAAGCTGCATACCAGTCAAGTAATGAGTATGATGACAACCAAGCTAGCCACAATGCTGTTGTTCACAAAAGTTGACGAGAACAGAGATGACAGCACGAGGGGATGGGGTGAATGACCAGTCATTCAACACTAGTCTGAGTCAAAGCGTACCGCATAGATGTTGGTGCAGTCTTGGCGCCTTCCACGTCTAGGTTAATGTGCTAAGAGGATATAAGGCAGTTCAGCTCTTGGGGTTGTCCCGGATCTATCATAACAGATGGACCGTTGGCACTGGAATTCAGCAGAAGGATGGAAGACAAGGAATAATCAGGAATGCAACAGCCTGGGTATAGAAAAAGTGAAAGAAGCAGCTGAAGTACGGATGCACACAGGCCAGTTTGTTTAAACACAACGCTTAAAAGGTAGCGGTTGGTCGAAGCACTCAATCACCGCCCAGAAAACTTGGAAGCAGAACAAGACGGATTCCAAAACTGGAGTGATAATGGACTGTTCCGCGGGGTAGGTGGTAACAAGCAAAAACGTCCTAATAAAACTTGACCTGTGAATAGCCGGCGGTTGCCACGGTCGGTTACTAGCTCGTACTGTGCATAATAGGCTGATAGGGTCAGCCCCTCATCATTGTGTTCCTCCAGTTCTTTGGTTCATCCCATCGAACTAAATGGGAAAGTCCCCGTAAGGATAAACCCTAGGCAAAGATCGCTCAAGTAGTTGGTGGACACAATTTTTGAAGGAAAACGGCATACAAACTATCCCTGAACTATTTCAGTAATCTCAGTTTACTTTAATGACAACTATTTCAGGCATACAACCATTTTCTCGTGTTCCCACAACTCGACAGCACTCACACCACCCAACCCTAAGTGTATGTTGAGTTGATTAAAGTGCAGAGTGGACCGCCCAGTCAGATCACCCAAGCTTTTGTTGATAATATTCAGCAACGAAATATTCGTATTCCTGAATGAAATGGTGGATGTGCACCTTCTAACACTCCTACTGTACATCTAGCAATTGACTTTATTTCCATAAATGACAATCCTCGTGACTCAACAGAAAAAAACCTTAAAACTTCTCTAGATTTAGAGCTCTCAAAACATATATAGGTCAAATTAGTGTCAGAGTCTCTTGATTACACTAGGGAGTTGTAGAATTCTTCTGTTTCCTTCTCCGCGTCAGTGGAAGACACAAGATTGTTTGAGGTGAATGAGGTGAACCATTTGATGAGACTTTTGTTACATACACTCTGAGACTAGGTTCACAGCATAAAATCCAAAGAACGTGGCCCCATATGTTGAAACACCCACCCGGGAACGACATACTAGGATTCAGCAACCTGCAAAATTGCCGAAAAACACTTTTTATTTGATCTCGTTCCCGATGGAACAATAGAGATTTGCCACCGTAAAAGTGAATAGAGACGTTGCATTCCATTGGCGTTTCGCTGGATAACCCGAAAATATGGTAAAGCAGGGGTATCTTTGTAATGTACTGCTCATAAGGTTGCTGAAAATCCATTGTCAGCAACCTTATAAGTAGTACATTACAAAAATATACATGTATCGCGATATTTCAAATATCGTACCGACTGAAACATGAGGCGGCCTGGTGCAGCACATTCAGTTGCCTGAGAACATCATAAGCGAGAGATTCAGATGGGTTCAAGGTGAGTCTCTCGAAAGAAACAAATTAGTTTGCAAATGAGTGTATATTCGCTAAAGCAGGAGTAATTCTTGCCCGGGTTAACCTGACAGCTAAATTGAGGTCGTCGGCTAGTCTGCGTTGTTAATAAAACAGCCACCATGCAGGCGCTCTGAGGCTAGTAGTCAGATAACATATTCCCCCTACCTGACCAAAATTATGCCCCAGCAGAACACTGAAGAAGCAGGTCCTATACCGTAGGTTCTGAGGCTTCGTATTTTTCCGATATTTTCATTACAACCAGCGATATGACTATGATGAGGCTTGTGTCACGCAGTTGAGGATTACTGACAAAGCATGTAGGTTCCACTAGGAGCACAAACATGAGTAGAGGAACAGACGATGGACACTGCAGAAGAATCTCTATCCCTTCATGTTAAGTCGATTTCCAATAGGTTGCTGTCGATGGACGCGAAAAAGAGATGCACACGAAACGAAGTCAAAAACTATAAGAGGTTAAAAAGAATCATTGAACTAAGAAGTGAACATGGATCCGATACAAAGGTTCCTAACATAGTTTTCGAAAAGAAAGTTGCCGTGTTGTGCGGCATAGATGTGAATGGCCATTATTGCCCTGCCATTTAGGTTGTAAGTAACGTAGGATGTTAGGACTAAGGAAGTGAAATGACAAATGTTCAAAAAACCAGATGGTACGTGTTGTGGTTAGTTCACACGGTCAAAAGACATGAACCAGAATGAGGGTAGGATATGGAGTAGGATATTGCAAGCCTAGACTACTCACACTCGTCCAAGGTATATGAATTCTTAATGGCCTGAGTAGATACCAAAACAGAGAGACGTGTGCACGAAAATGAAAAGAACCTCATGAGAGAATAGCGTTTGGGCAGGAGGAGCTGAACACTGAGAAACGACATGCGAAAGGTTTCAGCGGGGATAAACAAACAACTTGCCGGAAATTAAACAAGAGTTCCGATTGCATTCGGAACACCGCCAGTGAGGAGGGTCCGACGCTTGGACTAAACAGCGGAAAAGTAACGTTCAACTCGATGAAGTGCAAGCTCGTGCAGCCATTGATATAGGGCTTGACGAATGAGCTGACTAAGCTGACAACTAAAGGTCAGGTAGTGGTAGAGTACCTTCCAAGTGAGCCCTGGCAATGTTATGTCACAAAAGTTACAACTGTACATTGTGTTTGAACGGAACAAGGATATGGGAACGGAAAACACCGATCTATAGTTTAAATAGAGATAACTGCATACATTTTGATCGCAAGCTGTCAGAAACACTAAATACAGAACAATACACCAACACAGTTGCACTTACCGTCTTTTCGAGTGAAGGTAAACAGCTAGGAATGCGAATCCCAATAGCAGGTGGAGAAATCCGGTCACCAGACACATAATGCCAAGTGTGTTGTTCTTCCCACCAAGCCAGCTTACATTTCCAATTACGAATGATTTACGTCCGTTGAAAGTGGAAACTGGGAAGACTGTACAGCAAAAATAACAGAAGGCCCAAATAAGTTCAATTTCTCATCATCACCAAGCAATGGGTGCCACCTGGAATTTTCTCAGTCACTAACAGTGATGCACGAAAGTGATGAACCAAACCAAGGACGCCGCTGCGCGATGAAATCGTTTCTTCTCATACTGACCTGTTCGACATCATTCATAATGGCTAAGACGTCAGGTTGAAACTAGCGATGCAAATAGTGAGTCGAAAGCATTTTGCTTGCTGGATTTGGGAACCTGGCCGCTCTCGGACTTTCTTTGAATTCAACTATGAGTACCCGTCGAAAATGATAGCAAGAACGAAAGACGAATGAATAATAACATTCGCCATTCGGCACCGAGGAGTGTAAAAACACAAACGGAGTATGAGAGCGAAAGGCTGAGTATATTTACCGAAATAAGTCTAACTTAGGTTCAAGCAGGACATGTGGTTGACGGAAATTCGGGGACTGCGCCAAGAAGGGCGAAACCGGTCGTGGGCTGTCGAAGAGGTCTCAGCAACCTCGTGAGTGGTTCCCGTTATGAAAATATGCTGCGATATCTTGAATACCGTACCAACTGAAACCTGAGGTGGCCTTTGTGCAGCACATTCAGTTGAAGAATATCATAAGCGAAAGATTCTGTTGAGTTTCCCGTGTAACTCACTGATTAGCAAATGAGTGTATTTGTCGAAAGGCTATCCTGTCAATGGGTAGGAACTACTCATTCCTGTTGTTCTTAGCATGAGAACACGGTAAATAGAGGTTCATGGCTCTTAACATTCGACGACCTTCAAATCTGATGCAATTTTTACGCTTCAACTGGACTTGAATGAAGACAGTAATGTACGGACTATATGAGATCAGTGGTCATAGTAACTCAAATGTGTTATTTGAAAGTAACACAGATTAAGTGGCAGGAAACAGTAGCGCCTCAACCGGGTGATGATGATGATGATTATGATCGTTCACCTGTAGCACCGTTTCGGTGCCTAGCTGCCATGCCACACGAAGGAGGCACGAGGGCTGGGATACTGCCAGGTTGCCCAAGCCTAGACAGGGGAAGTCGAGAGGCAGAGGTCAGGTTCGAACCACGGACCTTCCGGTCAGTGAATTCGCACTCTAACCACTTGGGCCATCCCACCCTCAACTAGGTACTTATCGGATCGTCCGCAGACAGAAATATTTAGCGCAAACAAATGGACTGATTGATTGATGAATTGATTGATTGATGGACTCGGTACGTACGGACAATGGGGAACGATTGCTTCAGCTGTGTGCTGATCGCAGGCTGCTTCTATGCAGTACGAACTAACTTAACAGCCGAAGTCGTCTGGCCACTTGGTGTCCTCCAACAACAGGCCGGCCACAAACTCAAATCGACCACATCGCCATCAGTTACCGATGGCGCGGATCCATAACTGACTGCCGGTCGTTTTGGAACACATTTGTGGGATCTGACCACGCGCTCGTCCGGAGTCGCTTCACCCTACGTTTCCCGGGACCGCGTCAGGTTCGGACAAATCGCATGGCAACTGAAAGACTGGCAGATCCGGATGTCAGACGAACTTACAAGAATCGTCTTCTAGAGTCTCTTCCAAATGCTCCACCATCAGATGTGAACTCATACTGGGACGAGAT